GAGCTGGAGGATCACCTGCAGAAGAGTGTGGCTGATCTGCAGGAGACCTTTGACCTCAGTGGCCTTCTCCTCTCAGCAGGAAGCCAGTGTTGCCAACTTAGCGACTTTGTCCCTATATTTAGTGACTTTTCAGACCCCTTAGCGACTTTATTTTCTAAAAAGGGAGAAGCAACAAATCTGGAGACTTTTTCTGGTGTTTTTGGAGACTTGAAAGCACGTATCGCTCTTACTCTCAACAAGCAGCGGTGCTGCCGTGGGCACCTCACCCGCGCCAAAGCGCTCACGGGGGCAGGATGGTCCTCCCCCAGCTGCTATCAGGGCAGGAGACGCTCACACCTGTGCGCCCAAACTGCAAATGAATCGCGCATGAGCGAAGCTGCTGCTCCGCACTGACTGTGACGCAGTCAGTTCTTTTACTCTTATGCTGTTTTGTGGATCACAAGGTTTAAAACTACTTATAAACACACACACACTGTAACTCCACCAGAGCGCCTACTTCGGGTCACTTTTGCGGGGTTGGAATTGTGGCATTACAAAAAACAATAATTGCTAAAAGAAATTTAATTTGTAGTTCTAAACAAACTAACTGCATTTAGGACGTTTTTTACTCACTTTGTCTCTTCCACGATGTTATTTCTCTCTCCGACAACGTTACAATTACATTAGCATGACCAATTATGCAAATTAGGCGATGACGTCATTTAGCGACTTTTAGGACAGCCAATAGCGATTTTCCTTGCTGAGTTTTCAACCGTGCAGGAAGCTGAGGGCTGCAGGGGGCGGGGTCAGCGCTCCTTGTGGCTTCAGACCCAGTTTAAGTTTTGAACTGTGCGCGTGTGTTTGTGTGCCTCCGCGTGTGTCTGCTGCTGGACTCCTATTAAAACCAGTGGAACCAGCTGCAGGTGGAAGCTCTACCTGTCACAGGAGGACTCGATCCCGCTGATGTGGACCTGGGCCGGTCTCACGCGCTGGACACTAAGGAGACACGCCGCGTACCTGTGAGCACGAGGAGCTCACCTGAGCACAGCGGCGGCTCGAACAGGAAGCGTTTTATTGTGGAAACCCGGATGCACGCTGAGTTCCCTGACGCTCGTGGTGTGACGTCATGACGCAGAGACTCAAAGATGGCGTGAATTGAAGAGGAGTCACTCCTCGGTGAAAATGAGATCCCCAAACATCTTTTGTTTTTTGGAGCGCAGATTCTGTGATTTCAAACTAAACACGCCGTGAGAATCCTCCCACTCACGGTGAGCCCAGCACACAGGTCCAGGTGTCTCCTGAGCCTCAAACACGTGTGTGACGTCACGAGCTTGCAGTCCTGCTCAGACACGTCAGAGCCGTGACGGCTGCCGCTGATCCAGTCACACACGGAGCCAGGTGCATGAAAGTAAAAGCGCTGCGGACTCTTTTTTTTCAATGTACCGCTGATTGCCCCGCCCCCTACTCATAAAGCCCCGCCCCACGATCTCCACGTGTTGGTGTGGTGGGCGGGGCCGTAGCTACTCTTCTGGCTGTTCTTACAGGCGTTCCCACTGTCTGCGGGTCACCTCGCTCCGTGACCCGGGTACTTTAGCGGAAACATGGCGGTCCCGCTGACCGACCATGAGAGGCGGAAGCAGATCAGCGTGCGGGGCTCGCGGACGTCGCAGAGATCAAGAAGACTTTGCACTTCACCTGGTGAAGGACCGGAACGTGGCCACGCCCCGGGACTACGACTTCGCCCTGGCCCCAGTGGCGTGTCCACCCCCCCCACCCCCCCAACCAGACTGATCACCCCAAAGGCAAAACAATAAAATTCAATCAAGTATCAAATGTCCGATTATGTTTTTACGGTGAAGCTCAGATATCCGAGTGTAAGTGAATGCAGCATCGGCTTCTGCGCTATGTGCATCACGTTAGCAAAGGTAGGAGAGCCAAGCGCGAAAGAGGCACCGCAGGAAACAGTTTTTCGGTGAAAGAAAATGAGGACAGAATAAATGTCCCGGTAAGTAATATTAAGTTTGTTGAGTTTAGTAAACTTCGGTGAAATTAGAATCCCAAGGAGAAAATAACACTTAAAGAATTATTGCAGCCGTGGAATATTTCAGACAGTATGCTACTGAGGGCAGCTAACATAAGAGTTATGAGTTATAAGATATCATCTAAGTCGTAACATTGCTGTATGGAGCTGCAGATTTGGTTGCAGGTTAACATCGCTGGTCTGGCCATCGGGCATCTGCTCAGTGACTTATTTATTTATTTATTTTGTAACAGCATGAACAATGAGAGGTGGTGGATTGGCCAGATGCAGGTCGATGTGTAGAAATAACTCAGTTGTTTGGTGGCGACTGTGGCGGAGCTTCCACAGAGGCCAGCAGGTGGATGAGGGAAGGTGAGGCAGGAGGAGGAGAGCCCCGAGGCGGCCGCCAGTCCGAGTGTCAGGTGAACTGAACTTCAGGTAAGAAGTTGACCTGCAGTCTATCTGGGTCAGATATAAACCAAGTTTAGGTGGAGTTTATTTTCGTTGTGCTGACTTTTTACCGTCAGTTGCAATAATTCGTACTGCGTTCTAGCCAGCTTGATGGAGTTTTTATACAGCTGGGTGGGTGCTATGATGTTACTGATAGTGAACTTTATTTTATTCATAAGGTTAGTAGAGTTTCCAACGGCTCCTTAAAAAATGGGATGGTCCCTCATTCAGAGAAAATATTACACGTTTGGTATTGAGCTGAGAAGAGACGCAGTTTGTCCCGAACTTTAGCTAGAATGGAAAAAGGCACAAAGCTGGAGTTTTTCTGTGTCTTTGCTGCACAGCTGCCTCTTCTTCTCTCATTCTCCCCCCTCCCTCTCCTGTTTCTACTTCAATCATGAAACTGATCAATGATCAGCTGATCGGCTCTCTTGTTTGTTTATCACTTTGCGCCAGAAAGAGGAAACCAGCGAATGTCGCGCTAAACAACAGCAGCACATTTGATCAGCTGTTGTTAGAATTTATTTAATGTTAATTTCTAGTATCAGCTGATGTTTGCTGGAGCCACAGCTGTAAAGCTGCTGGTCATGATGTCGGTTTGGATATGTGGTGAGAGGGAAACATGAAGATGAAACCAGGAGATGTCCTTACTGAACCATCAGAGCTGTGATGGAGAAACAGGTTTACCTTTTAGGTGACATGGATGAGTTGAAGTTATGAACTGTTTCTGAGAGACAAATAACACCAGGATCCTTTTCTAAGCAGCTGACAGCTGGTAACTGTGCAGGGGCGGGTCTAGCAAATATACCAACAAGACAGTGTACATATGGAAAAGATATATATAAATCTTATAAAGTTTGTATCTGTCTTGTGTGAAACTTGTATGAAAAGCATACAAGAGTAAAAACAGATATAAGATCCTTTGAAAAATTATATAATGAAACTTGTATGTTTTGGATACTAAAACAATGTATGAAAGTAATGAGAAAGTGGCCACTTTCATGACTAAATCATATAAGTTTTTACTATTTCTTTTCCATATGGGACTGTCACAACAGCATTTGTTTTCATTCAAAGGCTTTATGGCTTTAATACCTGGGGGGCCGGTCTCCAGTCAAAATGCCGTTTTTTTGTCCCAGTCCAGCCCTCGGCACGACACGCAGTGAGTTAATCTGAGCAGGTGCATTAAAAAATAAATGGCCGGGCCAGCGGTGCACATCGCAAATCAGCTCGCAGAGACATTAGGTGTGCCGCTTCTTAATGACGGTATCTTAGCAACCCCAACTACCAGATTCAACTTGTAATTGGCTAAAAATAACTTCGTCTACTGGTCAGAGGGACGTTGCTAGCTGGCAGTTTTTTTTCAAGCGATGTTGAAATTTCCACATTCAGACACTTCAAAAGCTTCAGCAGCTGTCAGCTCAGCATCAGCACCACGGAAATACACGGATACATCCGTAGACTCGAGACTGATCAAACCAGAAGCTTTAATGAGCAGCTGGTTTGTCTCGCATTAACTGGCTGAGTTAATACCAGTTAATCGAAATGCAGCTGATTGAACTGAAAAGCTCGACTCTGTGGGGTCAAAGTTTGCAGAACTATGAACACAGCTGGAATCCACAGCTGTGCGTGTTTATGGAGCTGCATGTTCACCTGCTGGACGTCACTACCTGACAAGTTTAACTGTCTTCAGAACATTGCAGAGGCCTTATTGACAGTGTTTGGCTCGAATATCTGTGTGAGCAGGTTTTCTCTCACATGAGTCCTCAGGTCTGAATGCTGGACACTGGGAGACCAGAGATCACAGTAACGTGTGTCTCTGTATTAACAAACATGCCATATTGGCCCAGTTTATTTTTCTTATCATTGTTGTGAGGAGACCTTAAACAGCATTTGCATTTTGCCTGTACGTCCAGGTGGATATATTTGTGCAGAATCGTGCCTTTGAGTCAAACAGCGAGAGAGCGCTGTTTACTCACTATCCAATCACATTACAGCATAAATAAGCTAACGAGCTCGTGTCTGTGGCGGTGCGTTCAGGGAACCAAGCAGCTTGTAAAACTAAATCTTTATTTTTTTATCTTCTTTTAGTTTAAAAAAAATCATCGTGTTCGATGAAGCTGAGCATCATCATCAGCTCAGAGCTCATTAATATTATTGTTGTTGTTATTTTGGTTTTGAGTTGCTTGTTCGAGGCCCGGCGTGAGCGCCCAGGTGTCTCGTGGGTAATGGTTTCGCGTCAGAATCTGTTTCTGCTGCTGTTGTTATTTCCGTCACCACAGAAACATGAACCTGATGTTTTGTACACAGAAAGCTTCGTCCTCGACTCATTTTCTGCTTGTTTGTTTTTAAACGAGATTTTCGTCGTCAAAATTGCCTTGTTAACATTTTTTCTTTCATCTGATGATTTAACATTTACTTTAATTACTTTTGGATATTTTTGCATCTTTACATTGAAAAAGAAAAATCTCTTTATTTCAGTCATTGTACGAAATGCTGACATCAACATTTTCAGATGTTTTTGAAACAAACAGCAGAACTGATAAATGAAGACAAATAAAACAAATAATATTTAATTCAAGTTGTAACAGGCCTTCAGACAAGTTCCAGTGATAAACTCGACACAATCACACAAAAATATTAAAAACTCCACGCCACCACTCTTTAAAAGCATCGGTTGCCGTGGCGACCCTGCGTGCTGTGACACGAGCGCGGCTGTGGGAGGAATGCCAACAGAAGGAGGAATGATGTGTCGAGGTCATGCGAGGACAAAACGAGCCGCGGCGGTGCGGCTGTCGTGGAGTGCAGAGAGTAATCCGAGTACTTCCTGTCTGTCCTCACTGTGCGACGGGATGAGCTGTGCCCAGGAAATCACTGAAAGAGAAGACAAAGAGCAGCGTGAGCGCGGTTTCGCGGCTCACCGTGACATCACCACGAGCTGATCCTACCTGAGGATGTTTGGCAGCTCCGGGCTCCTGTAGATGAACTTGTGCTTGTAGGCGAGCGCGGCGGGGAAGGGCACGAACTGAACCTTGTGACCGCTCAGGCTCTTCGACTGCGACGCCAGCGAGTAGAGCTGCAGGGAGAGGGCGAGGAGGCGGGTTAGTCTCAGTTTCTTCTTCTACTGCAGGAAAAATGGCGTGCTGCGTCCGGTCTACACCGTCACAGCGCGGCTCTACAGATCGGTCACACAGAAACTCGTGCCTCTCTCTCCCGTCTTCGACGCCACCCTCCCTGAGCCTGGCTCTTCCTGCTCCCACCCTCGCCTATGCGCCTGCTCACAGGGTCGTCTGGTTGTTGGCTCCTCTCTGTGTGATCGTTGGCTCTATGAAAAGCGCCCTGTTGTGATTTGGCGTTGCATAAATGCTGCCGGAGCAGATCCGTCCACATCAGAACGTTCTTTAAAAACACGAAACGTTCCGGTTTCTATTAACGTGACAATACAGCAGAAATCTGTCCAATGTTTTCGTTTTAGCTTCAGTTCTACCGAGTTAACGATAAAAACCCTGAAAACCAGAAACTTCACATCCGAGCCTCAACTCTCGCGGCCCGGTCCGTGCCGTGGGGGTTGGGGGCCGCTGTCTTAAAGAATAAGACTTGTTCTTGACGGATTTCTTTAGATTGGTGGAGATGTTTCAGTCACACTTTCTTACCTTCTTACCGAGGTGGAAAGGAACCACGCTGTCGTCCTCGGCGTGGAGGATGAGCACGGGACAGGAGATGTGGTTCATGCTGCAGACACACAAACATTCAGGGACATTAAACTTGTACTTGCGATTATTTTATTGTACTTTTTATATTTTATATTTATTATTTATCTTGCACCAAGGGAGTGGCACTCCAATTTCGTTGTACTCTGTACAATGACAATAAAGGCTATTCTATTCTATTCTATTCTAAACGCCTCTGCTGCATTCAGGGGCTGCAGTTCTTCTAACAGCCACTAGGTGCTGCTGTTTGGGTTATGTGTGTGTGAATCACCAGATATTCACACACACATAACGAGCTAATATTTCCAGATTAGTCTGCAGGGTCGAAGGTCAGCAGCTGTAATGAAAGTCTGTTCTCTGACGCTGCACGAGCAGATCCAGGATCAGCGTCTAAAAACAATCAAGCTCCATCCGTCAGACCTGCTCGGGTCATAAAAGTGAAAAATCAACGATTCGGTTTAAACTTCACGAGAAACTCGAAATGTTCCTCGCACAATTTAACATCAACTCCAAAATTATCCAAAGACGGTAAAAACGTTTCTTGTTCCACCCACTCAGGAATTTACTCCGAAGCCCGAGAACAAGTAAACGCTCGGAGGCGCTCTGCACGTTGATTCAGGTCAAACAGCCGCATGCTTTTTAAAAACTACGTAGCGAGCTGCTGACGAGCAGCCGGGCGCCGCTTGAAAACACGTTTCACGTGGGAGGAGCTTTGATGAGGTACATACTTCTCATCGCTGGTGAAGCGGATGTTGTTGGCAGTGATGGCGTCCAGGAAGAACCAATCAAAGCCGGGCAGGTACCGGTACACCTGAAACACACACACGCACTGTGAGACACACCTGCAGGAGCTGTGTGCGTCTGTGTGTGTGTCTGTGTGTGTTACCATGGAGAAGGGGTGACTCTTGGCCTCCTCTCTGATGTTGGTGAAAGGAGACTCTAAGATGAGCGCGTCAGGAGGACTTCCTGTGAAACGATGTCATCATTAGTACCTGACGCTACGTTTCCCACAATCCTCGGCTGCTGAGACGCTCCAATTAAACCCAGAAATAAACTCCTGGGAGTTTTAGTTAATGTCGTTCTCAATCTGCTGTTTTGCTATTTTTAATCCACACAGTGCTGTGCAAAAGTCTTGAGCCAGCCCTCATTTCACACACACTAAGGAGAGAAGTGTGTGTGTGTGTGTGTGTGTGTGTGTGTGTACCTCTGTCACACAGCCGTCTGACCACATTGGTTGCCACTCTGAAAGAAAAGAAACTCGGATTAAATCGGAATCCTTGGATCTGCTTCAGCCTCGTTGCTGCTGATCGATCTCTGGGACTGAAACTTGCAGTTCCTCTAGCGTCCTGCAGGGGCAGCAGTGACCCCCCCCCCACACTATAAAACTTTAGAGCTAATTTCCAGTTTCGATGCCTGAATGTTGAGAAGGCTTTCGGAAGTCGTGACTAAAGCTGGAAAGGTGTGGCAGGAATGATTCAAAGCCTCACTAAGACACCACCTGTCCAACATCCACCCACACCCACTGCATTAGACACACGCTGAGCCGTGACCGTTTTCTCCTTTCCTGTTCTCATGTGGGCGCGTCTTACAGCACTGCCACCCTATTAGTGAGTCACCTTTAAAGGGGCGGTCAGTAAGTGGTGTGCGTGCAAAGGAAACAGGTACACAGGTGTGTTGTTACCCTGTTCCCAGAGAGTGTCCCCAGATGTAAAGAGGCAGCGTTTTGTCTGTCCGCCGCTTCAGCCAGTCATAAATAAAGAGAGCGTCTGATGTCATCCCGCTCTCTGATGGCGAGCCTTCTGAATCGCCCCAACCTGCACACACACACACACACACACACACACACACACACACACACACACACACGTCACACAGGTGTGCCAGCTGTGTTTGTCCGCCTGCTGTACTCGGCTTGTTTCTCACCTCTGTAATCAAACGTGACCACGTGGTAGCCTAACGAG